CCTGCACCCTCCTCCTCCTGTGACCTCTGTTCCACCTCCCCTGCACCCTCCAGGTACGTGCTCACTCATGGAACAGGCTTGGGGCAAAGCAGAGCTTTAGTGGTTCAGTGCTGTGGGATGGGGGGCACTCAGGGAACAGATCCCTACCCCTGGCCAGCCTTTGTTTAGTCTCCATCAGCCTCTTCTATATTTGCCCTGAATACTTAAAAATGGCAGCTGGTCCTTGAAGGAAAACCTCTGGGCTTTGTTTCCCTGAGGGAACCTTGCAGTGCTACTGATCCATTTGCTTTATTGATAAATGTCAAGAAGCAGGTTCCTGTTTCTCTGTATTCTGGCTTAAATACACCAGGCTGAAGTGAGGCTTCTCCTGCTCCTGGAGCAGCACCAGGAGCACTCCATGCAGTGACTCCAGCCTGAGGAGGATTTGCTGCAGCACTCAAGGGTTCTTTTCCCCAGTAACTTTTCCATGGTAGCTTTTCCTGCTGCCTTAGTTAAAATTGTTTGGCAAAATCAAGTTGGACACACTGGAGTGGGACCTGCAGCAGGTTCTCCTCTCCAGCTCCTTCAGTTGTTCTGAAAACCAAATCAATTGTTTGTGTTCACACTCAGAAAAGGAGTTCCCCGGCAACATTTTAAATTGTAAAGGTAAAGAGATTGTTTGGGAAAATTATATCATTTATAGGCTAATTCCTGCTTAGTAACTCCAATTTTTCTCCTGCTCTGTTTGCTCCAGTGTGAGATTTATTCAGAATTGTGCTTTGAGGTTTAGCTTGAGGTACAGAGAGTCCATGCAGTACAGAGAGGCCACGCTTTCCTTGTCGTCCTCACTTGTTTTCCCTGCTTATTTCCACAGGCCTGCCTCCTCCAGGTCCAATTCCAGGTAGGTGCTACCTTGTTCTTAGTAACAGCAACAATTTTGATCACACAGGTTCAGAGCATTTGGACTAAGTAACATGAAATAGGATGGCACCAGTTTAGAGCACAGCTAATTTAGGATTAACAAACTCCAACTGAGCATTGAACCTGAGCTGCTTATCTTCTATTCTGACACAAATCTGGAGGTCAGAATAACTTGATTGTTATATTCTGATCAGAATGCAATGAGTCTGCATCCCAAGAACCACTTTTCCTCCCTAGGGTTGTAAGAGTTAATTGTTACTCCTTGATGAATCTTATGTTCAGTATTTATAAGCCAAAACAGAAGGTAGTTTTTGCTTTGTTTTTCTTCCTATATCCCTACAAAAGTAACAGAGCTTTAAGGTGTGAATTTGGGGAGGAGATCCTATCCTGAAGGAAAATTCCTCTATTTTAAACAGGGCCTTGTTTAGGGTAAAAAGTTGCTTTAATGATTTTTAGCTGTGAATAGCAGTCATGAAGCTGCAAGATCTTGGTGCTGATTTACCCTTGTGTGTCTAGGGCTGTTCCCACCACCTCTGGCACCACCACCAGCTCTCCTCATCCCCACCTTGGATGGGTAAGACCACACCTGGGTAAGATCACACCATGGGAGCAGCTGCCCTGGAGGGAGGAGGGGAGGAGAACAGGTCCAAAATCAGTGCTGGGGATGCATGGTCTGGGCTTGAGTTGGGGTGGGGGAGAGCAGAGTCTGTCAGGAATCCTCTGTGCATTCACCTGGATTTGGCATATTCAAGGCACAGGAAGGAGCCAGTAAAATCTAGGTAAGGCCTGGAGTAGTTCATGGCATGATTTGTTACTGCAGCTGCTTTCTCTGAAGGTGCTCCAGGTAGTTTGTGAGCAGTGGTGATTTCCCAGGGCAAGCAGTGGGATTGTGGCAGGTTTGGAAGCTGTGGCAAAACCTGTGAGCATTTCTGATAGTGGGATTCCCATGAGAATGCTCCACAGATCTGCAGGAAAAACAGGGTGAAGCTGCATCACAGGCAGAGCTGTGGGGTCCCTGATGTCAGTAACTCACCCCATTTTCTCTCCCAAAGGCAGCCAGCCAGCTACAACAACAGGCAGCCACCTCCCTTTGGCTACAACTCTGCAGGTGAGCACGGGGCAGGACACATCCACTGCTGCCCTCTCTGCCCTGGCTCTTGGCAGCCCAGGCCTTTCTGGGGCTGACCCTCACCATGGCTGCTCCAGCTGCAGGCCTTGCTGTGCCCCACAGGGTCCCAGGCAGGAGCACAGGCTGGTGTGTGCTCTGAGTGCTGGGCAGGTGTGGGATGCACTTTTGTGACCCAGAGAAGCCTCCCCAGTGCCTCAGCAGTGTGTTCTCTGCCTGTTTGCACACACATGTGCTCACCCTCACTCATCTTCCCCCTTTTCCCCACCCTCAGGGATTAGCACAACCATCCACAACTACTGAGCTTGGCATCTCCTCCCTGAGTTTCTGAATCTCTTCCCTCACTTCACCCTCTCCTTGCTACAGGCACCATCTCCTGTGCTTTAGCCATGGGAGAGGCAGTGCCAGGATTTCAGCAGATTCCCTTCCCTGCTGCAGCCCCAGCTCTCTCCCAGTCCTGCAGTGCCCAGGAGTGGCTCCTGGCTGTGCTGAGCAGTGGGAGCACCAGCAGCCCTGCAGAGCAAAGCCTCCCTGCAGGACAGGGCTGGGGGAGTGGCAGTGCCAGCCCTTCCCAAGGACAGGAGCCTGCAGTGCTGCCAGATGTGGCCCTGCTTTGGGGTATGACCTCACCAGTGCAGCTGGCCGCCTCTGCCTGGGAAATGCTGGTGGCTCTGGGCTCCCCAGGTGGCATCCTTCACTGCTGGCCCTCCCCAGGTGCCACCCTAGAGCAGAAGGTACCTGGTGGGAGGTGGGACCTTGTGCAGATGAGCAGGGCCCAGGGCTGGCACGCTGTGCAGTGCTGCCTGTAAATGCCTGCTCTTGTGCCTTCCCCAGGGAGGAGTTCCCTGTTCTTAGCAAACTGCTGGGAGGGGAAGGGGAAGGGCAGCAGGGAGCTGGGCCAGGGTCTCCTGGGATCCAGCTCTGCTGCCAGGGGGATCTTTGGGAAGGGAGGGACAGAGGGGGTGCTGGCCATGCTCTGGGTGATGGAGGGTTCTGCTCTCTGGCTGCAGATTCAGGTTTCATCAGCTACCCCCCCATCTCCACGTCCCACACGCCCTGGGTGACCACGGTGGACAAGGGCACGAGCAGCTCCAGCAGCAGCCACTGGGAGTACTCGGGCTCCAGGCGGGACCGGGAGCGGGAGCGAGACCGGGACCGGGACAGGGAGCGAGAGCGGGACCGGGACCGCACCCCAACAACCAGTGAATACAACAAGTGAGTGAGTGCTGCCCCCACCTGCAGTGAGTGCAACGAGTGAGTGAGTGCAACCAGTGAGTGAGTGCTGCCCCCACCACCAGTGAATACAAGTGAGTGCTGCCCCCACCACCAGTGAATACAAGTGAGTGCTGCCCTCACCTCCACTGAGTGCAACCAGTGAGTGAGTGCTGCCTTCACCTCCAGTGAATACAAGTGAGTGCTGCCCTCACCTCCAGTGAGTGCAACAAGTGAGTGCTGCCCTCCTGTGCTCCTGGCAGCCTTAGGCCCCCTCAGGGCTGGGTGTAGAGGACCCCAGCTGAATTCTCTGTAGCGCCTGGGGAAGAGCTCCTTTGGATCAATAACTGCAGCACAGACAGGGAGCTGTGCCCCTGGCTGATTTCCTGTCTCTGGGTCTGGGATTTTTTGTTTAAATCCAGCAGAACCAGTTCCTCTTGCTCTCCCACGAGGCCAGTCAATGAAATAGCCCCTCTGTGTTTACTCAGTGTTTCACAGCTCAGTGTGAAGCACTGGCTGCAGGAGCTGCTGCTTCTTGTCTTCTAAATGTCACTGTCAGATCAAAGGACAGACAGCCTGCTCTGCTCTCCTGTGGGGCTGGGAGTGCCATTCCCTGGGAGCCAGCCAGGAAATGGGAGCAGGACTGCAGAGACCACCTTGGTGGGAGCTCCTGTGGCCTCAGCTGCCAGCAGTGCTGGGAGCACCTGGGAGAGAGCAGGAGCCTTGGAGCCTCCCTGTGTTCATCTGAGGTGGAGGCTGGGCTGCAGACACTTCCCAAACCCAACTTTGGTGTTCAGTCAGCAGCTGTGTTGGTGTTTTGCAGGCTCCAGGCTCAGAAATGCCAATAATCATTCAAAACATGATCAGAATGTGCATTCCTGGCACAGGGCACTTCCTGCTGGGGAGCTTCCCAGCCCAGGGAGGGAGCAAACAGGGCAGTGTGCTTCTAATATTTTTTTTTCCTTTATAAGCTTTTGGGCACTGTGGGTGGGAGGGGGGAGGAAGAGAACAGAATACAAACTTGCTAAAATTGGAAGAGCTCAGACTCCCCCACTTCCTGGTGCATGCTGGAGCCAAGGCCTGGGATCAGCACTCCTGAGCACATTGCTGGCATTTCTGGCAGGTTTGGAGCACCCTGGTGCAGGTCAAAGCAGGGCAAGTGGCCCAGCAGTCCTTTGGAGCACTCCCAGCTGATTGATCCTGTACATTTATTTGTCCAGCTTGTTTCCAGGAGTGTCAGAACAATGTCTGTGACGTCCTTTCTCCCAGGTCTTGAGTATTGTTCCCACAGGGGCACTGTTAACCCTTTGGATTTTGGCTTTCAGAAGGTGACCAGGGGGATGTGGAGGGGAGTGTGGGATGTGTCTCAGTTTGGGGTACACCCTGCCCACCCCTGGGGACTGAATGAGGTGCTTTGAGCACATAGAGGGGTGCAGACAAAGCTGCACTCACAGTTTGATGTTTTGAGCTTGTGGAGAAGTTTGTGAGAAGCACTAGGTATTACTGTTCTGTGCCTTAAGTGTAAATTGAAAAGTCCTGATCAAGCCAGTTCAGAACCTGAGATCTTAAAGCTTATGTGTAGATCACATTTGGTACCTGCCACCCAGAGATGTGTGTGTGAAGAAAAACTGAGAAAAGACACTGTGAAGCTTAAGTAGAAAGAAGATAGTATAAGGAGAAAGAAATAATGAGAACTAACCAGAGTAAAGAAGTTCCTGAGCCAGCCCCTTTGGGAGGGGCTCACTGAAAGAAGGCTGCCAGTAAGGGCAGCTCAGAAAATGAAAAGATTTATAATACCTTATTGCAGTTAATGCTGTTTGAAAATAAGAAAGTAAATAAGATCAAGTAATGCTGTTTTAAAATAAGAAAGTAAATAAGATCAAGTCCCATATGCTGATGTGCTTTTTGCTTTAAAAAATCACCCAGAATAGCAGAGTGACTGTAGGTTCAGAGCTTCCTGTGACCTACTAGTGTTAGATCTT